TTGAGCTACTCTTCCAAGCAGGGTTTACGCTTTAGGGTTTTCGGGTTTAGGGTTCAGGGTTTAGGGTTTAGGGTATATATAGGGTTCAGGGTTTTAGGGTTTAGGGTTCAGGGTTTAGGGATTAGGGATAAGGTAGGCTTTAGGGTTGAGCTTTAATTAAGCTATCGTACACCGGAACACACCCCTCTGGAGAAGCCTCGGCTTGACTTCATCTGCTGCTTCGGCGCCTGCTTCGCCTTGGGCCCTTTCCTCGAGCACCGAAGGTGCCGGAGTTTAAGGACCCCTTTGAGGTTCAGGGCTTAGGGGTGTTTAGGGTTCAGGGGTTTCGGGGTTTAGGAGCCCAGTGGATTTTGCTGAAATGAAACTGGACTAGCCGTTTTCAGGTGGAACAGGTCTGCATGAGGCTCTAGTTCTGATTAATGACTATTGGATATGATAAGGCAACTAGGGTCTGCGAAAGAGTCGCTCACAGGCTTCTATAAGTACAACTTCTCGGGGGGTTTATACCATGTGGCCCCTACACTAAACACGAAGCTAACCGTTGAACCGTTGACCCTACACCATGTAGTCCACCTTGTAGAAACCCAGATCTTCTCGAAGACAGGTGCAGAAGAATAACTGTGACGACTATGCCCTAAACCCTCAACCCAAACCCCTAACCCGTAAACTGGCCCTAATACTCCCAAGCTTCAAACCCTAAACTCCAAACCCCTGACAAGCCTTTGCCAGATCCAACTCCATCAATGCCTACTTGGAGGATCATGGAAGTAGCTTAAAGATATAGGTACCTGAATTGCGGCGCTAAGCTATTCAAAGTATATAGCTACTCGATGTAGAGTTTGGGATTGAGGGGTGTGAAGGTTTAACTGTTCAAGACCCCATTATCCGAAACCCACAAATTACCCTAAACCCTAAACCCCTAACCCCGAAACCCTGAACCCCTATACCCTAAACCCCTTACCCTGAACCCTAAACCCTAAACTCTCTATATATATTTCTATATGTATATATAAACTTCCCCCGCCGAACCCCTAAGTTGGCTGGGCATCAGCGACTTCATCATCTTCATGGCCTTCCGAGCCTGCTTCGAAGGAGAAGCGAAAGCACTTCCGGGGGTCCGGTTTATGGTTTTATGAGAACGGGATAGGGCATAATCATATATATATATAAGTATATAAGTATATATATATATATATAATATATATATATATATACACATACATAAACGTATGTGTGCATATATATATATATACCCTGGAGCCCTGAAGAATATGAGTGCTGGTGAGACCTCCGGCCCCGACACATTATGCAACCCAGGAACTCCCCAACTCTCCCTAGCAACGATCGCACCGCTGTGCGGGACTTAGGCTTAGAGCTTGGCCCTTTAAGGGTGTAGGGTTTAGGGTTTAGGGTTTAGGGTTTAGGGGCTTTGTATGGCTTAGAGTCGTGAGGGCGACCAGCTATGCTTTATGGTAACGGCTTTCTCCTAAGGAAGGGCACGGTTTGTCCTCCATTTTGTCACGATTTCGGGATGAAGGAAAAGCAACACATGGCCTTGATGATACAGAACATGATAAGCTGCCGTAACCCCGCCCTCCCTAACACCTGAACCCTGAACCGGGACAGCTGGGTTTGGAGCTTTCGGGCGTCTTCTCGCCCGACTGACTGAACCGGGAACGCTGGCCTGAAGAGTACCCCGAGAAACGCAACTGGAAGGCAAGTTTAGCTTTCGGGTCTAGGGCTGTAGGATTAATATAGAGGACGCCTTGCTAACTACAATAAGGTTTCCATGCAGAGTCTACGATAACAAGGAACCCTAGAAATAGTTCCTCCATAATGCTGGGAAAGCGGGGCCCTAAACCCCGAAACCCTAGACCCTAAGCCCTAATAAACCCCAAAGCCGTAAACCCAAAAACCCTAAACCCTAAACACTAAACCCCTAAACCCTAAACCCTAAACCCTAAAACCCTAGTTAAAGGCCCTAAACCGGCCTGCGCCTGGCTTGCCCGCCGCTTCGCGGCCTTTTGGTCTTTCGGCCGCTTGATTGTGCCTCGGCTCAAGCTAACCCTAAACCCTAAAC